TTCCTACAACGACTAATCTTCCTATTTCTCTATTTTCTGAACAAGTATTAATATATTCGTTAAAACTTTCCAATAAACAAGTAAGGCAGTGTAATATAAAGGTATAAAATATTAGAACTTTAAAAGGATATGTTTGTAATGACCTTTGAGTACTTTACAGTTCAGCAAATTAATTTCTTCATATATATATATATATTTTTTTTTTTTTCTTTTTTAAACTCTCTCAGCTTTTTTTCGACCTTTTAAAGAAGGCTTAAGACTGTATCCAAAAAGATTTTCATCATATTTAAAAAGGTTTTAACAAATTCCCACAATTGAGACACAAATTAGCCAATTTAACTCAGATGATTACATTATCTTTTGGCCGTGGAATCCAGAATAAAGAGACTAAGAGCGTTAAAAATATGTTTTTGAAACAGAAATAAAATATTATTTGTGAATAAATTAATTGCTTACTTGGTATTTCCCCTTTTAAGCCTTGCCCAAAAAATAACTAAAGTAAACGAAAATTATAAACAAGAGAAGATACGAAAAGAACGTACTTTAATTACGAAATCTTTGAATTTACAAGGATGTCTTTGAATTTACAAAGATGACGGAGATTTTAGAGTACAAGTGTTATAGTGTGCTTTGTGCTTTTTTCGGTATGTGTTTTTCTTTCATGAGAGGTGTGGTATATATAGACGCTGGTACATCATGTCTATTCTATTGGTGTTGTAAGTGTGCTATCAATAATTGAAGAATATTGTGCAAATTTTACAGGTGTGTGATCTAAAATTAAAGAAAAAACAAATAGTGTACAATTCTCCATGTGAGTAATTAAAGAATGAATTATTTGAAAAGATGATTCTGACAATTTTTGTATTCACGCCTGACTTTTCTTGAAATATGGGAATCAACTTTATAGATGTTTGAAATATGTTCAAAAGCTTTATGTTTACGCGCCTTCTTTTTGACTTGTATTGGTAATTAATTCTTCGTCTTTCTATCTCGTCTTTTTCAATTATGTATCTGTCCATCATTTTTGCTATGACTTCTTCTAGTTCTGGATCCATCTCATTATCATTGCCATCAGATATGTATGCTTCCTCTCCTGTATCTGATAGAGTTTCTGTAAATTCTCCATTAGTCTCTTGAAACGTTAATATAAATTCTTTTGTTCAACATTTGATACTAGAAATTTTTCTGCTTTAGTTCTCATAGCAAGGTGCTCTTGGCAGAAAATAATTCTATTGTTCCATTGAGCTGCTAATCTGAAATCATTATTTTGAACTTTCATCATGGCTGCGATTTTTGATATCCTTCTTTCATTATCAATCTGTCGAATTTTTATTTTAATATTCGTCCACGAAGAAGGTCTAAATCTTTTGGCTCCTTCATAAATAAAAATATGATGATAAGTTGGAATTACAATGCCATTATTTACACGAGGGGGTATGGAAATGAATTGAATCATTAAGGGATGATCTTTTAACTGATCAGTAATATGTTTAAGTTTCGGTGGAAAAAATCGAAAAGATTTGCTTAATATGTATATAGTAACTATCATTCCAAACTTAAAGTTGGGTAAAAAAGGTCTTCTTCTTCAAAAATTGTATACTCAAAGGAAATTGTTGGATAATTGTGTCTAAGAAAGGCTGAGTTTTGTGCTGCATCGTATTTGAGACCATGTCTAAGGAAGTATCTATTTTCATTATGATAGTAACTTAAAATTTGAGAAAAATCTATAATTTCCTGTACAACGGAATTCTTTATAGAACTTTCAACAATACTGGTACAATCACCAATTATTTGTTCTAATTCGTATAAAGTCTTTTCTTGTCTTGCAGATATAGAATCTGTTAGTTCAATAAGTTTTTCTATTCTATCAGAATAATTTCTACTTGTAGAGGCGATGTCATTAGAAAAGAGTTTTTCAAGTGTATCTCTAAAACTAAGTATGTCTAAACTATTATGCAATTTAAGAATCTCATTTTGATATTTATTAATAGTTTGTTGGGACGAGAAAATTTGATCTTCAAGGAGTTGTAGTCTTTCTTCTAAAGAATGCTTTCTAAGATTTAAATTTTTAACAACTTTGGTCATAGTTTCACAAATATCACAAAGTTGTATTGATGAAGATGATGATGAAGCTTGAGAGGGGGTTTGCATGGTCTGTCTAATTCTTTCGGATATATGAAAATTAAATCCTATAATTTCTCTACAAAAATTTAAAGCTTCTTCAAGCGTATAAAATCCTTTGAAAAGAGGGTCAGGAAATCTTTCTACTTGTTGTAGTACTTCTGGCCAATAATTATATATACTAGGTTTTCTACCTTTAATTACTATAAAGAAACTAAAATTTTTACTTTCTACTTGATTATGAGTCTGTCTAAATGGTTAGCTAGGGCATTTATGCTATATAATTTTTGTTTAAGTCACGTGTCATCCAGAGATTATCCAGTAGACAACGCTCCCTTCCTGGTAATCTTTTTAAATTATTTCTTTTGAATCGAATATTAGATTCTTGAGGGGCCACTCTCAAAGTGACATTTCCAAAGTTTATCATCCTTTAATCCATCTGCACCATGAAGATAATGAGTTAGAAAATTAATAACCTACCTATTTAAATTTTCTGCTAAAATATTATTTTTTCTGTCAATATGTTCTATATTAATTTTATAATTGCTTAATATCTCATATAATTTCAACTATCTTTTATCTATCAAAATTTTTCTTTTAAATAAATTTTACTATAGCTCCACAATCTATCTTAATTGTAAATTCAGTATTTAAAAATAATTTAAAACTTTCTATACTATGTATGATGACCATTATTTCATAATTTAAACTAGTTAAATATTTTCCTTTAATCTTGTATTTTTTGCTAGCATATCTACAATTTTTTTCTTATTTTTTATCACTGTATTTATTTGGTTTGAAATATAAAATTCCTCCCTATCCTAATTCACATCCATCTGTTTCTATTATTTTATATTCACTATCTAACAGTGGTAAATTTTTAAATTCTGCTTTTATCTTTTTAACTAATTCTATATCTGATTTATTAAAATATTTTTGTCATTTACTATACAATGGTCTTACTTTCCTTCCTAAATTTTTAATAAAATGTCTAGTATAATTTAATATTCCTAAAAGGCTTGTAATTTCTTAGTTTCTTCAATTTTGTCTGAAAATTGTAAAATTGATTGTACTATATGTGGCTGTAACTGAATCCTTCCTTCTCCTAAATTATTCCTCAAAATTCAATTTTTTGTTTGTTTATTTATTTTGATCTTCTTTTACTTATAATTAAACCATTTTCTATAAATTTATTCAAGGTTATCTCTAGATGTTTCATATGTTCTTTATAATTTTTACTATATACTAGAATATCATCTATATATACACAAACAAATGGAAGAGAATTAAATATGTTATTCATCTTTCTTTAAAAAATAGAGGGTGCATTTTTTAATCCAAAAGGCATGACTAACAATTCAAAGTGTCCTAATGGAGTAGTAAAAGCTGTCCAATGAATAGATTCTTTGCCATTTTTATTAGCCAAAATCCAAATTTACAATCAAATTTAGAAAATATCTTGCCATTTTGTATTTTATTTATTAGCATATTCTTATTTGGTATCTTATATCCATCTTCTACAGTATTGCCGTTTAATCTTTTATAGTTTATAACCATTCTTGCTTTTTCTCTTTTTATTTCACTATGATTTCTAACCATAAAGGCTGCTCATCTGTGTTGACTATTAAAATGTCTTATTACTTTTAAATCTAATAATTCTTTAATCTATATGTTCAAATCTTCTATATCTTGATTTGTATGTTTTATTTCTACTGTTCTAATTTTTATATTTTCATTTATTATTTCTAATTTAGCTTCTATTTTATTTTTATCCCAATATTTTATAGAATCTTCTCCTATTATTTGAATTTTTTCAGCTAATTCTAAAATTTTGTCTATACTATCTATCTTAGAAGATGTCTTGTTAAAAATTATTAATTCTTTATTTCTTGGTATTAAATCTGTTTTTAAAGTTTATAAATATAAGTTATCTAAAAATTCTGAATTTTCTTCAATTTCTCGGTCTGGTTGAACTTTCAAAAAATTAAAAATATAAAAAAAATACTGTCACATGATATAAATAGTCTTAATAATTCAATAAACAAATAATGTACATGTGAAGATGAAAAGCTTGGTGTAAAGGATCTTAAAGTAAGGTCTACACGTTAGGGAAGTGGAGTCATTGTGTATTACTCGAAGATATTGTTTAACTCCAAGGTATTTATGAGGTTAAACTCGTAATATAATTACAGGGAAAAAAATATCTGGCCTACTTTAATTACATGTGCTAAACAAAAATGAATCTTAAATTCCAAAATCACTTGAACATTTAAAAATTAAAATTTATTGAATTATATTGCATACTATAGAGTAAGACTCACCATTTCCCATTTTCGTCTTCTTATTTTTCTCGGAACTTCGGTTTCATATATATACACACCGAGAATTTACCGAGAAATATAGGAAAAGTGGAACAGCGACTCTTGATTAGAATAACGTTCCAACATCTTGAATTAGGATTTTGTCTCATATTATTTGCCATACAGAAGGAATTCCACCTTTGAAAATTAAAATTTTGAACCAAAAAGACAATCTTCGTAGACCAGCATATTTTCACAGCAAGCATTCAAACGAAGTTATTTATTATACAAATTTTCTTTTTAAAGTTATTTAATTTTTGTGTTTTTTCTATCATGGATTGGATAATTGTTAAGGGATAAAATTCCATGTAAAATAAAGATAAAATATATATCAATGTATAAGGGATTTGGCTACCCTTCTTAATAATGTCGATCGTTTAAGATGGAATCCTATGTCTTAATATGATATCAGAGCTCATTAAATTCTGATAAACAATTTGAACCAATTAAGATTAAAAATGATCACACAACTTTAATGATTGGTATGTTCAAACGAGCCATCATTTTGTAAAGGGCATGTTAAGGGATAAAATTTCATATCAAATAAAGATGAAAATATAAATCAATATATAAGGATTTGAATTAATCCTCTTAGTAAGATTGATATTTTAAAATAAAATCCCAATAATTAAGGGTAAACCTCAATAATAGACCTCAATCCTAACCCATATACGATGTTGTATCTAGTAAAGCCAGCATCGAAGAACAGTTTTGCCCACTCTTTCTCAGTTCTTTCTCTTCCATTAGCCCAAACCATCATGCTCATATCGTAGAACAGCTGAGTTTCAATTCCTTTGTGGTCTTCTTTCTTGTTTCCAACGATTATGTCAATAATGATCACTTTTCCTCCATTCTCCTTGCATGGGATTGCTTCTCTGCATTTCTTCAATATTTTCACACAATCTTCATCGCTCCAATCGTGCAATATACACTGTTTGATACAAATATCATGTCAAATGAGTAAATTTGATGGCAATACGGTTAAATAGTTCTAGTGTAAAAAAAATAAAATAGCACTACCTCATAAGTTGGATTTGGAGCGTATGCATGGAATTAATTTGTGTTAACAAGCGAGTTAGTATCTTGAATAGCCAATATTAATGAAAATCAGTTGCAAAATAATGTAAAAGTTTCAATTTTGTTAGTTGGATGTATAAACAAACTCCATACCTTGAGCAAAAGTGCATCTGCACGAGGAATAGTTTCAAACATGTTTCCTCCAACGTAGGTCAAATTCTTTGTCCCTTCTAAGCCCGCAATAACATGTGGTAGATCAAACACGACACATTGTAAGTCCGGAAAAGAGTCGACAATAGCTTTGGCCAACGATCCCGTGCCACCACCAACGTCCACAATTGACTTCAACTTTTCGAAGACTTGTTTGCAATCTCTGGTAACTACGTTACTCACCAACTGAGTGTCACTAGCCATTGCTTTATTGAACAGGAGATTCATCTTCGGCTCCTGACTGCCATAGTCCCAAAATGTCTTTCCATAGGCCGTCTCAAAAGCAGACGAGTCCTCATTATTTTCAAACCATTCACT